GGACCTTAAGGTCATCCAGTTCCAACCCCCTGCCATGGGCAGAGACACCTTTCACTAAACCATGTCACCCAAGGCTCTGTCCAGCCTGGCTTTGAACACTGCCAGGGATGGAGCATTTACCACTTCTTTGGGCAACCTGTTCCAGTGCCTCACCACCCAATGGTTCTTTTCCTATGGACAGGTCAAGCCAATACATGAGAGGCATCTTCAAAAGTTGGTATTGCCCTTTGCTATGGCTCAGCTTGTGAAACCAACATTAGGATGATGCAAAAGAATATACACATATTAAAAAACTCACTTGATAATACTTCACTTCTACTCTTTTCCCTGAGAGCCTTTCCAATTGCTGGTAGACAGAATTTGCCACCAGTTTTACCCTTGCTGTAGAAGACTTTGTTAATAAGAATGGTAATTTGTAGAGTCATTTGACCACTTGTTAGAATTTGATGTATTTCCCAGACAATGCAATGATAGCAAAACATTTTTGTTTCTAAACAGCAGGCAGACTCACTGGTTTGCCTTGATTTTGCTGTTAGTAATAGGAAAGGAATAATTCAATGAAAGCCATATTCCCTTGGGGCAATTTTGTTGTCAGACTCTGAGAGCATGTGCTGATGTACTGCTTGATGTGCCTGCCTTAACTTGAGATTACAGATAACAAGCTGTTTCCCACATTCATGGGCTACTCTTTATGTGACATGAATATCTAAGAGACGAAGGGTAGCAGGGAATCATGCAGGGAATCACACAGATCAGTTGTTACTTTCGTCTCAGTGTGGTCTTTCTTTCATCACTGACTGAATGGACAGGCCAAAGAAAGGGAAAAGCATTGCTGGAGAAGTACAGACAAAACCAAAATGAAACAGTGTGTCCTAAATACGCTGCTGGAGTCAATGGATAAAACTGTTGCATCCAGTGGAGTTAGACACATGGAAAGTAGCCATCATTTTGGCCCATTTCTAAGAAGAAATGTTATAAACCTAACTCAGGCCTTGATTCAGGAAGGTATCTTTGTATAAGAAACATCAGACATGTATGTGAGTGCTTTTCTGACTTGGTATCTTGGTAGGGATCCAGTTAACTGTAAGTAATTTTACCTGTCTATGTGGAAATCAAGTCTTGTATGTACACATACAGCTGTTTTTTGCCTAACTCCTTTTTGTTCAGGATGAGGTCTTGCTGTGTTATTTGTGTATGTGTTATACAAGGAATCAGACTGCTGTCATGGCTCTTTGCTATGTAGAGAACATGCAAAACATTGACTTAGGAAGTTAAATCTTTAGTGTTTCCTTTTCATGTTCAAAAGCACAGGACTTTACCACCAGCCTATATTATATATTAGAGCTTGGGTCTCTGTTCCTGCTTAAACTGTGCATGTACAGGGACAAGCTTCCTGCGACACTAGCAAAAATCACAGCAGCGAGCTCAGCCTAAATCCACATTTCAACATGAATACCTTCTCACTCAGGAGTGTTTGTATCTGGGATTTTGATTATTGAGGCTAGACACATTTTGAGTTCTTTTTTTGGACACCGGAGTTTGAGTTTGTTCAAAGCCAGAGATTTAGATTAGGTTCATGCTGTGAAAAGGCTGCACTTCAATCACCTATTTTCAGAAGGAAGAAGTACAGAAATAAATCCTGCAGCTCTTAGAACTCGCAGTTGGCTTCGCTGAACCAGCTCATTTATGTGAAATAAATATAAGGGCACGTAGTGTTCCCAGTCATGAGCTCCTGGTTCAGTCGTAGATTTTCTAAGGGAAGCAGAGTGCTGGGAGGGCAGCAGCCCCACAGCCAGCTCCATGTGGTGTGACGGGCAGAGGGCTGTGTCACCACGTAGCACTTTCCCACCTTCCTTTTCCCCTCTCCATCAGCATTCAGCCCAGATAAGAGTGGTGGAATATGACTTCCAGCCCCGACCAGGCTCTTAGAAGGCTTGCTGATGAAACGTCAATAATGCAGAACTAAATGCTGCAGCAGTGACTCAGTCCCTAAAGTCAGGGGGAGCATCCCCTCACTGAGTGTTTAGTCGGAGGTGCAGGATGGTTTAGTCAATATTTTTTAAGCTGCCCTTACCTAATGTACAGTGACTAAAGATGCCTTAGATTATGCACAGTAGAATAATAATGTTACTTAAAAATACCTAAATAATTTTCTTCATCTGTTTCTGATATGTATTTTCTTTCTTTCTGGGAGTGGTTTCTTTCAGGCAGCGAATCCAGACTGTGTCAGTCACAGCTGGTCAGTTCTTGTTTCTCATGCATTGGCACAAAGGTGTGAAATCAGACTGGAAAATGATTTTCCTCAAATGTTAGGGTTATCCACCACCAGCAGGAGCTAGTAAGGCAAGTGGTGGATTTGCCATCTTCTGGGGGGGCTGCAGGTCTGAGCTGCCATTCCAGAAGAGATGCTACGGTCAGAGTTACCAATCTCAGCACAAAGGTATGCAGCAGAATGGTTTGCAATACACGGGCAGTCAGAGCTAGCTCTAACATGCTCCTGCCCTTTGAAAATCACTTGAATAAGCTACAGTGAATTGTGAGCAATTTATGGAATTATTTGTTGTGTCAAAAATTCCCCATGAAATTTATTAGGTTGGGAATTTAGAAAGTGAAATCTAGAAACTGAAATCCTGCCAAGAGACTAGGCCAGATGAGAGCATCTATCGTGGGGTCCCCTCTGAGGATCACACCTCCATCCCCCTACTCTGCCCGCCCCCCACCTCCCTGGAACACTCTGCAGCGTTGTGCTAGTGCATTGTGAGCCAAGGAATGGTATGTTTAGTCACTTCCCAGTCAAACTAGAGATCAGCCACTGTGCAATTGTGTACAAAACCAATAAAAATAAAAGATAATAATAACAGAACTGCTTGCTCTTATTTTATTCCACCAAAAGGAAACGAACAAAAGAAACAGTGGAAAAGGATCAGGCGTTCATCATCTGATGGCCTATGTTTATAGAATGAGAAAGGATTTCTGCTTTTCACCCTTACCTATCTTTCTCCAGATGTAGAGATCCTTTTCCATCCTTACTAAGATTATACAAGCAATGAATAATCCTGAAATTCTGCAAATATAAGGAGCTTACCATTGGCCTCGTGCTGCAATTCTACACAGTTATTTGGGAGCACCCTCCAGTAGGCACAGAGGGATCTCATGCTGCCAGTGCTTCTTCTGGAGGGTGGCACAGGCTGGGAAGTTGTGTGATAAGGACACGCCTTCTACCTCTGCGCAGGGACTGCTGGTGCTCTTGGGAAGCTCGGCCTTGCTGGAAGAGCACCAGGCACCTTCTGCTTCCCAGAAGCTGCTGTGTGACTTGAGAGGGAGAATCCAGGTGCTTTATGCCCTTAGAATAATGAGGGATACCATTGTGAGTATCCCTGACTGTTTTTTCCTTTAGCTGGGATTGGTGTTCAGGGAACTAGTAGACCTTTGACTCATGGTGCTGTAGTGCTTGGGTTTGGAAGGGACCTTTAAAGGTCACCTTGTCCAAACCCCCTTCAATAAGTAGGGACATCTTCAACTAGACCAGGTTGCTCAGAGTCCCTTCCAGCCTGACCTCGAATGTTTCCAGGGATGGGACATCTCCCACCCCTCCGGACAACCTGTTCCAGGGTTTCACCACCCTCTTTGCATCCTGTTGATTATTTAAGTGGTTCCAAGGTGCCAGTTCTCTGGGCTGCACTCAGTCCGTGATTTGAACTGTGTGTTCCTGTGACAGCATTGAGAAGTGTTCACGCATGGGAAATAAGTGATTTGTTTCTTGTTTCAAATGTAACAACCTGTGATGCACCCTCTCAAAATGCTTAAATTAAGCAGATTTCCTTACAGACTGCACAAATTCTATTTACCCAAAGTTATATGGTCAGATTTCTGTGTTTAATTATAAAAAGATGATGGATGTCACTAATCTTTTCCATGTTGGAGAAAAAAGATACCAGAAGAGAACTTTTCTTTTTCCTAATAATAAAATAGGTGGTAGATTAAAAAACCAAGAAATTTTACAATTTTAGACTTAAAACCTATTCCAGAGTAGTCAATGTAGGAAATGCAGCTGGTAAGCACACTATGTATTAATACACTAGGAAGTTTAGCATCAGAATGAATCTGGAATTTGGGAGCCTAGTTCCTGATGCGTGAATGAAGGGGGCAAATTCCTTTTTCTCCATGTTTCTTGTTTTCAGGCAGAAATTTTCTTGTTGGAGAGAAACCTTCCAAAGTGTAGTTGCTTATGCAGGAGGGGAATGGGATGCGGTGGTGGTTTTGCAAACTACCCTTTGAATATGCACATGTTTGCATATGTACTTATGAAGTCTTACAAGCTCAGTCTGGAAGCAATATTTCAGACTAGATAGCTGATAATGCTGAGCTCACCTAGCTAAAGGCAAATACCACCTGAATTTGCTGTTAGGCCTTGCAAACTCTACAGCGGGTCCCAAATGTGGCTTTTAATTAAAAAGCACAGTAATCTATTCAAATTCGAAATGATGGAACCTGACAAAAACAGTAGTTCTTTTATTTCAACTAGAATAAACCAGTCTGTCTCCAGGAACTCATGAGATGGTCTTAAATATTTCTTATTGGCTCCTTTTCCTCACATTTCATTTTATAATAATGAAACTCATCATCTTCTAATGGTCTATCCCATACATTAGCCATTATACTCAACAAACAACAGCATAACCAAGTTCTTTTCTCTTACTCTGTTTTAATCCAGTAGTTAATAACAACAGAGCAATCCTGTGCTTTCACATGTGTTGAACCAGTGCTGATCTCAGAGCTGTGCTGGTGCGGGGTCTGAACATCAGCACTCAAAAGGAGGAAAAGCTGGCTGAAGATGAGAAGGAGCCTCAAGGCACTGACTCCATGCAGATCACTCCAGGGGGTGGGCATCAGTGCTGGCCACCTAGAAAGGAGGGAGAAAAGACATAGCATAAAGGCATAAATGCCTTCAAAGCAGGTACAGAGGTTTTTCCCACTCGTGTTACCCACCGCACGAGTAGGTTTGCTCCAGGTTCAGTTAGTGCCGGGTGCTCCCCCTGCTTCCACAGGCAGACAAGTTTTGGGATCCCAGACAACCTTTCTCCATCTGATTACTGCGGTCAAGGCGGAATGACTGCCAATGCCATTAGGCAATGCCAAATGCTGGCCATGCATTCTCACTTGCTGAGACTGCCTTCTTGTTGCTGTAATATCTCTTTTGATCCCCAAGAAGCACAGAGGGATCTGATCTGTATCCTAGCAGGAGTGGGGCACATGCTGGCCTTCAAGGCATCAGCTCGCCCTGTTCTGGTGACTTGACCACCAGGTAGAAGAAAATGGAGCTGTTTCAGGCAAGCTGATTGAGGACCTGAAGCTCAGTTTTAACAAGTTTATTTACCCTCAATACCTAAGTGCACAACAGCACTTGCTCACAGCACACTCTTGGCATCTTGTATTCTTTCAGTTTCTTCCAAGTATGTGTATCAGCTTCTGTGCATTCATAACACCCTGGGTTTAGAAGCTATCCAGTGGTAGGAGGAATATATGTAATCCCGGTGTCTCTGCTGGTGGTCGTAGAAGTGCATCTGTCAAACAAACTTACTTATGGCCATTGGGGTTTTCTAGTGATAAAACCTACCAGTAGGATGACAGAGCGAGCATTTTCCTTTTCTTCTTGCTTGGATGATATTTTTATACACTTTTATATGCAATTTTTTTAAATATTTGCTATTTTTATTGTAGGGTTCTGGTTGGGTTTTTACCAGACCTTCTGGTCGTCTACAGGCCCAGATTCTCACACGGATACTTCCCTTCCCTTTTCTTCTCCCCAGTAGACAAAAGCCATTGTGTTTGCAACATCAGCTTGGAGCAAAATAACACCTTGGGCCTGGTCTCTCTTTTAGTTGCACTGAAATCAAAGGAAGTTGCATGCAAAGTCCTGCTGGTCCCACCACTGGGGCTGAAGATGAAATAAACTTAACATACACAGCCAATTGCGCGCAGGGCGGTCGGTGTGAAGCCAATGCATCAGGGTGGCTCCATCTTCCTGTGCTGTGGTAGGATCTGCTTCCACCTCGAGGTGTTGAAATAAGACTCTTCTCTCCCTCTTTGTTCTGATGCTGCTGCTTCTTGTAGGCACTGCAGCCAAAGTCTTACCGCAGCGCACTGACTACCCTCAGCATGGTGGCTTATCTGGGACAGGAGGTTCCACTGCTCTTGTGGTTAACCCTACAGCGACAGTTCCTAACTAATGTTAAGAAACTTTAAAGCTATTGGTAGGGAGGATAAGGGGAAATTAACCAAATTCAAGGATCTTGGTCTTGTAAAAAATAACCTTTTCTCAGCTGGCATTCTGCAGGCAATTCTGTGTATGAAGTTGAACATAAACTTTAGCATATGTTTATATTAGCAGAACTGATAATGCAGATGCCTGTCTTGAACTGAACTAAAATAAACAACAGAAACCTGTTCTCTAACATTTTCCAAGGAAGAAAGAGGCAGGTTGTTACACTGTTTTGCACCAGGGGTTAGACAACAAGTTAAAATGCATGCTGAGAGCAAATCTCAACACATTTGCTCCTGGGACCGTCTGGGACGGGTAATGAAAAACAACCTCTTTGGTTTGTTAAGACTCATAAAGAAACAAAAAAATGCAAACCTGAAATGAATGATGCCATTTGTAATGCGAAATATTCTCAATGTTGTGAGAATAATTTTAAACAATATGTATTTATTGCTAGTTCCTTATTTGAAAGAAGAGGCTTGTGGTCTCTGAATGTATAAACCATTTCTCAGCATTCCAGTTTTTCTGTAACTGAGTCCATGTATGTTCATCCTATTACCAAATAAAACCAATGAGATCTCTGCTCCATTTGAATTAAAGCTGTAGAAGGGTTCCTTTTATTCTGGTGCTTTCTACGTCCAGTCCAGGCACGGCACTTGCCATTTGCTTTCCAGTGTCCAGCTCCCCATAGATTACTGGTAATAATCATCTTTATTTTCAGCCTAGTGGGAACGTTGCTTGGACAGCAGTCATTGCCCACCCCCTGCCCCTTTGAGGAGGATTTAGTGGCATTACCTAGTATCTAAACACAGGGAAAGTGAGGTAGAGAATTCAAATAGCTTATTTAAGGACCCCAAGGTAAATCTCTGCCTGTTTGGGGATTAGACATGTCAACCTCACCTTTCCCCTTTTCTCTGTTGACTAAAATCAGAGCCAAGAAGATCATCTAACCCAACAACAGCACACCAAACTCGTGCCCACTCAAACACTTGCTTGTGTGATGTTTTTTCTTTGTGCCACTTGAAAGATGAGAATCAGTCCCACAGGGCTGGTGTCCTGTGCTCCAATATTGCTTAGAGACCTCTTCTTACAGCTCTACATCTCCACATAGGACCTTCTACAAAGTACCTTACCCCACAGGTAGAACCGGGCAGTGTCTGCACAGTGGGCATCACACCACACAAGCAATGACCAGTATTTTCCTATCCCACTGCTGTTTTTCTATTTGATCTTTTCCTTGAAAAAGGGAAAAAATCATGATGAAGAGAGGCAGAGGCCAAACCATTGTCTCTGAGGAGGATGTAAAGTTGAGACATGTTCAATACAAGCATGAAAGGCTTTGTGCATTCCTTTCCTCTCTGTGAGGTTCACTGGTACTGCTATCCTGGAGAACATGCAATGTACTCAGCACTGTACCTGCTTGCATTCTTATGCCTTACCAGCTTGGTTTGAGTCTGCAAGTACCTCCAGTCCAGTGCAAGTAGAGATGAAACCAACCTGCCAGTTTCTGATAGATATTGAGGGTGTTGATGCAGTCGACTGTGATCTTCAAATCAAAAATACTGATTGCCACAGAAGCAAGAAGGGAGAAAAGATGGTTGAGAAAAGGCATCTAATGATTCGGGTGACTTGCCTCTGCTTGCAAATTCAGTATCAGAGTCCTTTCTCTGGCATGTATCGCCAGTGACAAATGTCCGGAGCTATTACCAACTGGTGGTTCCCAAAGTGATGCCAGCCGCTTGAAGAACCACCCCAGACTCAAGGTAAGTGCTGTGTAACTGTCTTCAGAGCTGCACTGGGCAATAAAGCTGGTGTTTGCCAGTTCTGTGGGACATGGAAGTAGCTGGAGGGAAAGCTGTCTGGGATCTGGCAGCAGTTCATAGGTCCAAAACTTCAGAATCTGAAACTTCCAGAATCAGTAACCTGGATATCTCCACCCAAGCCCTGGTAAGTGTAAGAGATACCCGAGTACAAACAAGAAAGATATGTTTGGTATTGACTCCTCTGGATGGAAAAGTCCCCAGAAGTGAAGCTATATTCCCTGTTAGCCTCACCTAAAACCATGGATAAGAAATGGCAGAAGGAAGACAGCAAACACCTTGTAGTGGTGGCCGCACTACAAAAAGCATTTGAATGGCTGGTGAGACTCGGGTTCATTCATCTCTGCTGAAACTACTCTTTCTCTTTAAAGGTCCAGCACGACGTTCAACTGACTTCCCAAGTCTGGGCTCCTCGGCAAACCACCTTACATTGCCAGGTCAGTCAGTACCACCTCACTTTTATTTGCTTACGTGCACAACTTGAGAATAGGCACTCACAGTGCCTACTGTCTGGGAGATGGACATGACTTCTTCTCCAGGTATGGCATGGCTGCTACACATCACATTAAACAAGTTAAACCCATTCACTGGGGTTGAACAAACAAACTGTTGTTTTTAATGGTCTTTACTGCACGTCAGGGTTTTTGTCCAGAGGAGCTGTGGCTGCCCCATCCCTGGCAGTGCTCAAGGCCAGGTTGGACACAGGGGCTTGGTGCAACCTGCTCTAGTGGAAGGTGTCCCTGCCCGTGGCAGGGGTTGGAGCTGGATGAGCTTTAAGGTCCCTTCCAACACAAACCAGTCTGGGATTCTGTGATAAATGCCTTATGTTTTGTGGCTAGCAGTGCAGGCTTCACAGGCAATTTAAATTCAGTTGGCAAGTTAATTTGGGCCTTTATCATATGGACATAGATGCTGAAGGGAAAAAGTAAGGCTGTTTTGTAGGCCAAAGCATCGCAGTTTTTGTGCCCTTCCCTGCACAAACATACCAAACCCTGCTGTCTCTATTTCACCACTGTAACCATTTTCTCAATCCCTTCATCTTTGTCCCACACAACTGTTAGAAGAAAGGGAAGGTTATATGAAGCAGTTACACAGAATAATGGCTTAATGTGAACAAGATACTATCTTGAATATGCATATGCAGGGCAGTCATATATGTATAATTCACAGTAGCTGAAAGAAAGAGTAAGTCTGCAGGAAGATAACAAGAAATCACCAAGAAAAAAAACCCCCAAACTTCAAGCAGAGTCCTTAAAAAGTTTTACTACAGATATTACTGTCAGTGGTTGCTGTGCCAGCAGATGGGATATAGTGTGGCTCCGTATATAGATGTGCAGTAGCATGTTTCTGTTCTCCAAGCTGTTCCTGGTGTGATGCTCTTTCGCAGCCACCACCTCAGCAGATTGTTTCTGCAGGCACAGCTGCAGCCACTGCTAGGGTGTAAGTAAGGAAAAGAACAAGTGGGGATGTGAGGCCTATTCTCTGCTTTTATTTCCTGATGGTAGCCATGATCTTTAAAAAGGAATTATTTCCTTAAATGAAAAAAGGGAAATTCAAGCCTTAGCAGCACCAAGGATAGAAACTTGTAATACTTACATACTTACTTACTTACATGCTCCATGCACGAAGCACCTGAGAGTCATAACCTATTGAAGCCCACAGAAACCCTGTGAGGGAAGCTTGTTTTATTCCCACTTTACATGAGGAGAAGCCGGGGTGAATGTTACAGTCCAGGTCACATGAGAAGTGAGTGAGCAATCTGGGAACCAACCTCTAGAGTCCTGAGAGAGTCTTCTCCTCATCACTTTGAGGCACTAAAGCTTGATGAAATTAAATGTCATAGATGCCTTTTATCAACTCCTGTATGAGGATGATAAACAGCACTGCCAGTGTTCTGGATAAACCCCCTTAAAGCCAAGTCTTCTCTGTTGGCAACAACTCCAGTAAAATTCCAGTTAACAATAAATATTCCCCCATGCTGAACAATGGAAAATCCAATAACAGTTTGGCTGAATCCATGCTGAGTACAGAAAATAGAATTAATCTGAAAAATGGATGTGCCTCAAAGAACAGTAGCTCACCTGGATATTTTTCAAGCTTTTAACGAATGTCAATCTAGTCTACTTGAGAACAGGAAAGATTATGACTATGCAGAAATCCGGATGTGTACCTCTGAAGTTTATTATGTCCATGGGTTTTTTGTTTCCCAAGACATTTTAGAGCATGATTAATCACTTAAAGAGTTTATGAAGATGGGAGTGTGACTGTTCTAGCATTTGATGTTGGCTAGGTCACACAGGGGAATCTTTTCTGCTGCTTAGGATTCATGCTGAGAGCAATGACTTTAAAGTGCTTGTCATGCTAATTATTGACTTATTACTAGGTTATTTTGCAAATAATAACTAAGCAGAAGATGAATACATTTGGTCATGTTGAATTTTTTATTCTACCTATGTAAAAATGTAAGAAAGCAAGCCATAGTTCAAATAAACAGAGTCAAGAAAGCTGAGAATAGTCAAATTCATTTGTAGCCCACTGTGACTTTCACAATGACCTGTAGTTTACTGGAAAATCATAAGAAACCTTTTGGATCCACCTCTTCCTGAATTCTAGGAAATGGGATCTTATCTGCATTTATTGCCTTAAAATGACCTTGTTCAATGGTATTTTGAAAACCGTGCGATGTTTAGCTATCTGCATATAGCTAGGTAAGTATAATGTTTCTTCTTCATTTATACTTTTGGCACTTTCATCTTCTGTCGTAACTGTTGTTTCCCAACCTTGAGCATGTTCCTTGGCATTCACCTGCATTGGTGTAATTTTCTGGGATGTTGGAATGAGGGCATGATTTCAAGATCAAGTATTCCAAAGGGTTTAATTGCCCAGATTTCTATTTGGAGATGTCTGTGCTTCATTCTAGAGTTTTACATCTATATTTATGATTTACGTCCCTGCCCATGATAGGGGGTTGGAACTGGATGGTCTTTAAGGTCCTTCCAACCCAAACCCTTCTGTGATCTTTTTTTCCCCTGAACCTTTTCCTAACCCTCTCTAACTACCCATTAACCCAAAAGAGTCCTGGCTCTCACGCTGAGGAACCCTCCTTTGCACAGACAGGCTGTGCTGAGCGGGATGGATGCAGCTTCCAAGGAATTGATTTCTTGCCCAGCAGCGAGTGAATACTAGGGATGGTAACCATCCTTGTTCTTTCTTTGTCACCACCAGCCATCAAACCTCAGCTGCGGCTCCTCAGAAGGCCCACTCACAGCTCAGGAGACTATTTCCCAGCCTCCCACAAGAAACTGGAGGAACATCCGGTGACATGTAAGCTGCTTGACCAGAGGGGAAGGATGAAGAAGATCCAACATATTTCCCAGAGCTGGAATAGAAAATAGCAAAAGAGATAAAGAGGAAGGACACTCATCACAGCCGGACGGAAGACAACGTGTAACCCGTTGCACAGGCCATACTGTGTTGTACAGCAGCTGCAATTCTACATAAAGCAAGTGTATGATTTAGTTAAGCAATATAATGGACATTTCGTTATAAATGTTCTCAATAGCCTCCTTATTATTGCAGCAGACACCCACACAGCACTAAATTATTGGGCTGTTACCTTAAAAGAAGTGATTGTATGCCATTGTCTCAAGTTAAGGAAGCCAGTGCTTTCCTAGATTGTTGGGCTCCTTATGGCTTTCACAGTGTGACCTTCTGCCTACCCCAGGTAACATGACAACAACTCTAATTTCCAACAGCATGAGAGAGGTTTCTCTTGCCTGGCTGTACTGAGAAGTGTCCTAAATATCACAGTGTGATGGGTGTTCAGGAGGTTGAAGGTAGGAGGCTAGAGTACAAACAATCCTCTTGCTTCACTCATTAGTAAAAGAAGACATAGCACAGCATTAAAACTGTTCTTTGCACAAACCATGATGAATGTTAAATAACACTGATTGTCTTTTGTGGCATTCATTCAGTTGAGTTTGATCCCACGTGTTCTTTTGCTGCACAGTGTCCCATGGGCCTGAGTGTCACAGCGGCATGTGCTCTCTCTGTAAAGGTTCCTCTCGCCCCAAGGTTTTAAACTGTGAGAAACAGTGGAAATAACTCTGCTCTCTTTCTCTGTATTTTCTTTTCTCTGTCTTTTAATCTCTTTTTGTAACAGGAGGGTGAGCACTGCACACAATACTCAAGATGCAGGTATAAAACAATGTAATGACACTTTCTTTTTTATCTTCCGTGCTATTCTGAATAGTTTTTAAAGTTGTTTTTTCCTTTTTGCACCTCCTTGAGCACTGAGTAGTAGTATCTGCAACATCATCTATAATGAATCCTAGTAGTTGGGGAGTTGGGGTTGCCTCTCCATATATGCATTTTTCTGCACTTACCATCACTGAATTGGTGGTTTTGACAATTAGGATGCTGCTGCTTCTTTTTTTAACCTTACATCCTTCATTTCTGTTCCCCGTGTGTTTTCTTCCTCCATCAATACCTTTTCCAAATCACATCTTCAGGATAATCATGTTAAATGGCAAAGAGGACAATCCTCCTTTATTGTGAATGCTGACCAGTTCATCCCACTCTCTCTTCTTTTTCTCTTTCCCCCATCGATAACCTGTCATTTGCCCATCTTAATATCACATGTTATGATCTTCTTTCAATCCATGACAGCCTTTGGAGCAGCACCTTGTCAAAATGGAGATCTGCAAACCACTGTGGGCTCCTCCGAGGAGGTCTCAAAGATTTGTGAGGTAAAATTTCTCCTATAAGAATTAGGCTGACCCCTCTTGCAGTATCCCCGCCACCTACCGATTCTATTGTCGATAGTTCACTCACTGCAAATCACAGCCTGTTCCACACACTACAGGTTTGTAACTACATCCAACATCAAAACTGCACCAGCTGGTGTATGTAGCACTGCTGTGTGACAGTCACATTAAAATCGTGGCTGAAAAGGGCCAGGGTGTTTTCCCAGTATTATGGATTCCCCTCGCTCCTTTAGAGAGGATCACTACAATTCCATGTGTGCCCACCCAGAGGTCTGACACCTTCCCGCAGTGTTTTGCTGCACTGCCTGAGGGCTCCGATGGCACCTTATTTCCTTTCTTTTCATCTGGTTTACCCTGTGCTTAATGTCTGTGATTTTGACCTTAACCACCATCAGAACTTGCATGACTCCAGCAGCCAGACTGGGTCACTGCCTAAACCAAATGGAAAGAGGAATGCACTTTAAAGCCGCCTGCTTATGAAATGTGATTTATCTCTAGGAATTCCCTGAGAACTGTATTTTGCTTGTAGAATAGCCTGAAATGTTTTACAAAAATAGACTGTATAGAAATTTAAAATTATACTGTCTTACCAAACACGTTTTCTGACTGTGTCATTCTTTCCCCTTAGGACACCTTTGGTTAGCACTTTACCTAGCAGAGTTCCATCTAACTGTTCTCTGGACAAGTCGACAGCACTGGGGCATTTGCAGAAGTTAAAAGAGGATCCTCTTTTTTGTTTGCCTCTCATTATTACCAGTAATTTATTTGGATTATTGGGTTTGTGTCACTGGCATCTCACAAAGGCCATGATTTTTGTCTTCGCACTCCTGGTCCACACTCTCCCTTTTGCCATGAAGCAGAGATAACTTGTTGTTTCGAATGTACTGCTGTGTAGTCAAGGTATAAGGGAATGAAACGACCTACCTGAGGCATCATGGGGAGCGAGTATGTGACTCCTACAAATGTAATGTAGTTCTGATCTCAGGATGTCTCTTCCCTCTTCCAAAGCCTGAGGCTTTTGGCCTAAACAAAATACTCTAAAGCGGGGGCGGGGAGAGGATGTTTGTGCAGACTGTTCCTTGCAAATCTCAGGTAAAACAGTTCCTTAGCAGAACTAGTGCTGGTAGCACCCAGCTGGATGCAGAGAGCTGCGTGGTGGAGTGGATGGGCTCATCCTTTCAGTCCAACCCTGACATCTAGTGTACACCGAAGGGAAATTCTCTAAAAGTGAAGTTCAGCAATGAAATCTGTGTTACCTGGGGGAGGTCTGGCTTTGCCATGCACTCAGCCTTTTTCTGCATTGATAATTGCTGAGACAACTACTTGCTGCCAGCACAGAAATAAGTCTGATTAATCTGTTCCTCTTGGAAAGTCTTATGATCTTAGACTTATGACGCCATTTAAACTTGTTATGAATTACTTGTTGCAACTATCAACACTTGCAAATTTAGCCTTTTATTCTGTTTAGGCTGTTTGTGAACTGAGTCTTTGTTCTAATCACTGGATCACTTTGCTATGGCAAGAAAGGTTGGTGCTTTGTTATTTGTGAGGGAGCTCTTTGTTTATTATTTTAGAAAAGGATCAAAGTCTGAATTAATCTAAATATTAAAATCCACAGTGAGTGAGGCATGGAGAGACTCTTGAGTATTGATTCCTTATATTCTGTGTATTTTTATGTCTACACAAACAGGGACTGAAAAGGAAAATTGGCTCCAACATCCTCAAGGGAAATTGCAGCAGCCAGAGCAGAGATGGAGGAGAGAGGGGAGGAGGAAGAGGGAGGAAGAGTTGTCACTCAGCAGCTTAGATGGACCTTTCCAGTTCTTTAGGTCATGAGGTAGCCTCTTTTCCAGTCAGTGGGTACCACTGGAAAGAGCCTCTCTCCCTCTTCTTTACTCCCTTCCATCAGACATTTACATATATTGATAAGATCCCTTTAAGATTTCTGTCCTGCAGGCTAAATAGAATACAGAAAAACAAACCTGGGACAGGTATAACTTTGTGCTAGATGCTAAGACCACTTGGGGGCCCAAAACCTACTTTGAAGATTGGAAAAGACTCAACAGCTTGGAAAAATCCAAAGCTCATGGCAGTGTGTCTCACAGTTATAAATACACAGCTTGCATTTTACAGGATTATTGCACCTGTAAGAATAAGCACAAACGGTCCATCAAAAGCATCTCTTGTTTCTGGAATGTGCTTTCTAACTTTGCTGCTGCTTGTCCATCTGTTTAGTCCACGTCTTTTCAGGATTCTTCAGGATGTTGGGTATAAGGATGGATTAAGCTTCCCTTCACAGCTCCTAGGTCCAGCAGACTGACACGGGTCTCGCCCATAGGACCAAAAGCTAGTGTCACAGAGTAGAATCTGGCTCTTAATGTTCACTCTTTCTATTTGCAGAATTACATTTCCAGGATACTCGTATTTCTGTTTGCACAACCTCCCTCTAAGAGGCCTGTGGCTTTTTTGGGGATGTAAGTAACAGAATAATATGTCTTTATGAACTTATCTAAATACAAGTGAGAAGTCAAAATTTCTCATTTGCTTCACTGACATGCGCTTCTGATTTTGGCTTGTAGATGTAATTGCTGGGCAGTCTCTCTGCATACAAATATACTGTAAGGTCATGCTTGGAAAATGTAATGTCAGAAGGCAGAAATGACATAAGACATGCAGGAAGACAATCTGTTATAATAACCAGCCACATCTATTAATGTAAGTGGTTGAAGCATTCTACAGTTATCAATTTATTAACTGCTAAGACAAAAATTTCAGCCAGACAAAATTTCAGTGTCTTGCTAAACAAGATGCATGCAAACACTGCTTTAGCTGTGAATAGTGTGAGTTAGTGATAGCATCATGAATGTTGCTTTGGATTTGTTTCTGCTGAAGTTTAGCTGGGCAAACTACTTAACCTCTCCACCTCATGTTTAGCACTACAGAAATACATCCTTTTCAGTTGGGTGATGGGCTTTCTTCAGTCCTTTGTTGACAGTTGCTGAAGTGCAAGGCCATTAAATCGCTTTGTCCCAAGTCTAATGTAAATGGAGACCTGTCCCTCAGTTTCTAGGTAGAGGTTAATTGAGAATTCCCTGCAAAACTATTATCCATTTATTTATTATCCTGACTGCAGTCGGTCTTTCACCCACTGACTGAAGCACTTCATTCCCTCTGAGGCCTTGGAATGGTTGTCCTGCCCATTGCAGACTTCTGGGGGGAGATGCTGTTGCAGCTAAATATCTGAGCGCAAACCAGATACTAAGGCCTTTAAGCAGCCCATACCTATGTGCCAGCAATGTAAGCGACTTCAGTCTGGAGCATCCCAGTCCTAAGAGTGCCATGGAAACGCTTAGCCTGTTTCTGTGCTTTCTGTTTCCTTCTGGTTTTGCTGTAGTGGCCATGGGTGACCCTTGGGGACACTGGGTACAAAAACACTTCTGCCCCAGAACACACCAACTCCAGCTGTTTGCCTAGGAGAGCAATCTGTGCAGTTTTAGCACTCTCTGGTCTTAAAGGGAGAGTTCAGAGCCTGAACAGCAATAAATAAACCTGATGACAAACAACATTCAGGCCATTGTAGAGTCCACACACGCTTCTGCAACACCTAAAGGCTTCATTCTGGGGGAAGG